CTAAACCCTAAACCCTAAACCCTAAACCCTAAACCCTAATTTACCTGTTGGAGGAGGTGTATAGTTAGATATAAATCAATCTTTGGATCTCTTTCTTGTGCAGCTGTTAAAATTATTGAGGAATCTAAAAAAAACAAAAAAAGGAGACAAAAAAGGAGACAAAAAAGGAGAAAAAAAAAAAAGAGATAAAAGGAGACATAAAAGGAGATATAAAAGGAGACATTTATTTGTTTGTTTGTCTCCTTTTTCTTTCTATATTTATTCCTTTCTTTCTATATACCTCTGATCGTCTTTACAACTCCCTAAACCCTAAACCCTAAACCCTAAACCCTAAACCCCAAACCCTAAACCCTAAACCCCAAACCCTAAACCCTAAACCCTAAACCCTACCATCAGAAGGAAGTTTATGAGTTAATGAATCAAGAATAAGAGAAGTAGATACAAAAGATCTAACTTGTAAAACCCTCAAGAGAGAAGCAAGAAGATCTCTTTCTTGACGACAAGAAGAATTCAAATAAAATGATATATTTGATGATAGGGTTAGCTGCATATACACCCCAAAACCCTAAACCCTAAACCCTAAACCCTAAATATACCCTAGATACAGTAAATACAGAGAGGGGAAGAGATAAGCAAATACTATAGCGGATCTACATGAATAAGAATCGTAAACCCTAAACCCTCATAAACAAGTCTGTCTAATAAACCCTAAACCCTAAACCCTAAACCCTAAACCCTTGCCTGGAATAGAGTGGGAGAAGAAGGATCGAGTTCAATTGTTGGTAAACTTGCGGTGTATTTACAAATAAATTCCCTTCTGCTTGCCTTCTCCTCTAATTCCTCTGGTGCTGCAACAAACCCTAAACCCTAAACCCTAAACCCTAAACCCCTAAACCCTAAACCCTCAAAAATTGAACACAAATCGCTGCGGACTGTAGGTTAAAATCAGATTTTAGGGTTTAGGGTTTAATAAGTAAGGGAATTAGGGTTTAGGGTTTAGGGTTTACGAGGAAGAGCAACAAGGACTTTCTCTGAATCAATCTCTACAAGAACTTCTGCTTCGTCTGTTTGCTCTAAACCCTCATCACGAGATGCTCTGCATATTCACACAAACCCTAAACCCTAAACCCTAAACCCTAAACCCTAAATCCTAAACCCTAAACCCTAAACAGGTTTTTACTCGTTTATCCTCCCAAAAGGCTATATGAAACCCAAACCCGTAGCCCCTCCTAACCCCTCCCCCCCAAACCCTAAACCCTAAACCCTAAACCCTAAACCCTAGCATACCTTGTACATCGGAAGGAAGATTTATCCTTGGATATAGCAGAGAGTACGAGGGTTTTTAGGGGTAACCCTACTTGTAGGGGACCAGTAGATAAGAATTTTCTTCCGTGTAAACCCCCGAGGGTTTTAGGTACTGCACAAACCTCCATATATGCTCCTATATCATCTGCTGTTACAGGGTATACGCTGTATACACACAAACCCTAAACCCTAAACCCTCATAAACCCTAATAATAAACCCTTATAAACCCTAATCAACAAATAATCAACAATAATCAACAATAATCAACACTAATAAACCCTAATATGCAATATGGTGGCATAAACCCTTGCTGTAATCCCTATTGAACTCGTAAGTGCAGTAAACCCTAAACCCTAAACCCTAAACCCTAAACCCTTAATTCTTACTTGCTATTAATGCCTTGTATTTGTGTAGATACACCCGAAGACTTAATTCTTCGCCAAGTAAATTGACACTCAGATGTTACATCTATTGATAGATTCCCCTTCTCTGTACACAATAAACCCTAAACCCTAAACCCTAAACCCTAAACCCTAAACCCTACATTATATATTCATTTATATATATACCTTTATATATTTATATTTATTTATACCTTTCTATTCAGATCAATTAACACATTTTATTTATTATAATTTTATTTATTTATTTATATTTATTTATTTATTTATTTATTTATATTTATTTATTTATTTATATAGATATTTACCATCAGCTGCATGCGTTGTTGCTAATAATTGTCCCTTTTTTGTATAATCAACAGATAAAGTAAAGTTTGCTTCTCCCCATACTTTATGGCACCTTTCTCCTGCTGCTGCTGCTGCTGCTGTTGCTGCTGCTGCTGCTGCTGCTGCTGATGTTGATGCTCCTCCTCCTCCGGTACCTTGGGTACCCCATCCACCTGCTGCTGCTGCTGCTGCAGCTGCAGCAGCTGCTGCTGCAGATACACCCGAAGAAGGAGGAGGCAGACCGGGGATCGATCCCAGGGAGACGATCCCAGGGATCGCACTAGGGGCAGAAGATAATGCATGCCCAGCAGCAGATACAGCAGACCTCCATAGTAGCTCTCCTCCTAATCACACACAAACCCTAAACCCTAAACCCTAAACCCTGTAGAGAGAGGAGTATTATCCTATACAATCCGTATAGATAGAGGGGGAAACAGTGTGCAGGGATATCCTTAAGGAGGTAAATTATTCAATATTAGGGTTTAGGGTTTAGGGTTTAGGGTTTACCAGATTTAACGTGCTCCCCCAACTCCGACACAGCAACAGTCAATACCCTCCCGATCTTCTGAGGGTCTAGGGCGACAGGGGGCCCCCTACTGCCCGCAAAGGGGCCCCCCATGGGGCCCCCCATGGAGGCCCCCAAGGGGCCCCCCATAGGGGCCCCATCCTTGGCGTTACCAGGGAAAAGGGTACCCTGGGGGCCCCCCTGGGGGGCCCCCAATTCGTCAACTATTGAAGAACTGGAGGGTTTAGAGGAGACGACAAACTCATTAGAGTCATCGGAGACAAGAGAAGTGCATCCAGTAAAGAGGGACATGACGGTGGCGAGCTGTAAACCCTAAACCCTAAACCCTCGTTTAGGGTTTGGCTGCCGGCCAAATATAATGAAGGGGCAAATGTGCCCTAGAAAGGCGGGCAGTAAATAGGAGAGATGGTGAGTAAATCCTTTTTTATGTGTTGATGAGGGTTTAGGGTTTAGTAAAGTTTAGGAGAATTTATTAGGGTTTAGGGTTTAGGGTTTAGGGTTTGCGAAGGTCGCGATGAGTCTCAGGCCGCCTCAAGCGGCGGGGTTTTTTCGTGTTTTTTTGTCTTATTGGGGTTTAAATAAATGCAGAATACAAAATTAAAACAAAAAACATAATTAAAAAGAAAAAAAACCCTTAAAATAAACCATAAAAACCCTTTTTTTGTTTTTTTTTGTTGCCGACTGCTGCGCCGTCGGCAGCGGACGGCAGCGGCGGTCGGTGTTGTACGTACACCGCAACTCACCCCTCTTATTAACACATTTTATTTTATTTATATTTATATTTCTTTTTTTTATCTAGGGTTTAGGGTTTAGGGTTTAGGGTTTAGGGTTTGACACATAGGCAGCAACAATTATGCCCACCAACTACATTTACTACAGCCCAGCGACGACGCAAAAAAATACAAAACGTAACGACCTACTAAACCCTAAACCCTAAACCCTAAACCCTAAACCCTAAACCCTTAAAATGTAGTCTAAAATTGAGTCGAAGAAAAGGAGATACAGGAGAGAATTAGGGTTTAGGGTTTAGCCAAAACCCTACAAAAACCCTCTCCGCCCGTAAAAACTGAGCAAAACCCTACAAACCCTACAAACCCTAAACCCTAAACCCTAAACCCTAGGAATTCAAGCAAGACAATTATCCACTAACACTAATTTTATTTATTTCTTCTTTGCTGTTTATTATTAACTGTCTCTTCTTTTTTATTTAGCGTTTGTCTCTTTTTTTTATTAATTAATTGTCTCTTTATTTATTTATTTATTTATTTATTTATTTATTTATTATTTTATTTATTTATTTGTCTCCTTTATTTATTTGTCTCCCTTTTTGTCTCTCTTTCTTTGCCTGTCTCTCTCTCTCTCTCCTTCTCTCCCTTATATAAGTGTCTCCTTTTGTCTCCTTAGCTAGCTAGCTGTCTCCTTAGCTAGCTAGCTGTCTCCTTAGCTAGCTAGCTGTCTCCTTTTTTTCTTTGTCTTTTTTTTTTTCTTCTTCTTCCTCTCTTTTGTCTCCTTTTTCTTTTTTGTCTCCTTTTTCTTTCTTCTGTCTCCTTTTCTTTCTTTTTTCTTTCTTTTTTTTCTTTCTTTTTTCTTCCTTTTTCTTTATTTGTCTCTTTTTTTTTTTGTCTCCTCTATTACTTTTATATTTAATTAATTTATTTACTGTCTCCTTTTTTGTCTCCTTTTTTGTCTCCTTTTTTGTCTCCTTTTTTGTCTCTTTTTTTTGTCTCTTTTTGTCTCCTTTTCTCCTTTTTTCCTCTTATTTATCTGCTTATTTATCTATATATACCTAAATTGTCTCCTTTTTCTGTCTATATCCCTTTCTCTTTTTTTATTTATCTTATTTATTTATTTATTTATTTATTTATTTATTTATTTATTTATTTATCTGTCTTTTTTTTATTTAATTTATTTATATATTGTCTCCTTTTATTTATTATTTTGTCTCTTTTTATTTGTTATATTATACTAGGAGAAAAAAGGAAGAAAAAAGGACAAAAAGAATAAAAAGGAGAACAAAAAGAACAAAAAGGAGACAAAAAGAATAAAAAGGAGACAAAAAGAATAAAAAGGAGACAAAAAAGAACAAAAAGGAGACAAAAAAAGAACAAAAAGGAGAAAAAAAAGAATAAAAAGGAGAAAAAAAAGAATAAAAAGGAGAAAAAAAAGAAAAAAAAGGAGAAAAAAAAGAAAAAAAAGGAGACAAAAAAGAATAAAAAGGAGACAAGTATTAATGAATTAAAATGTTAATAAGAAAAAGAAAAAGAAAAAGGAGACACTAAAAGTGTCTCTTAATATATAATATATAAATTAGGGTTTAGGGTTTAGGGTTTAGGGTTTAGGGTTTGTATGTATCAAATAATCCAAACCCTCAGCAGACATTTGCTGCTATAAATTAAACCCTTAGGGTTAATAATAGTATATATATATATATATATATATA